GAACATGTTTGGCCCCTTTGTCAAAGATAAAGTTGAGCCTGGATTTTTCAATAGTTTACAATAAAAACATAACTAGCGATCCACTTTTAACACACTAAGGAAACAGAATCCAGAATTAAGGAAACAATATTTGTAAGGAAGTTAAGAAGAATTTAACAGAGGAAGAAATGGGCAGAGAAGGAAGGAAAAGGACCCCATAGATTTCTTTCAATGGAGTCTTTCTGTGGGGTCCTTTCAATGGACTCAATGGAGTCTTTCTTTCCTCCTATCTCTTCTTTGTTATTTCTTTCAGGTTTTCTTTTCCCCTTTAGTTTATCTTTAGATTGTTTTCTCCTAGATAATGGTTTTGGATGGGAGTCTAGGTTGTGTAAGCAAAGGTGATCACTACTTCCTTTTATTCTCACCCAATGAATCAATACAGATTTCTGGTGAGCATGGCATACGTCAGAAATATATTCTCCTTTACATATGTCCTTTCCTAATATAGCAAACAACAGCTTACATATGTAGAACAAGGCCCAGTGACATACATCTTTCAAAATGTAGACTGCAGAATTTCTTTTTTTCCATTCATGAATAAGACTGATTTCATTCTATGTGTTGATATCATTTTATAGTACAGAAATGGTTTACTATTAAAAGATATCAGAATCAGCCCTTGTAAGGCTGCTTTATTTGAAAGGCTAGAGAGACCCTTCTGTCATCTTCAGCCTCTCATATCGCTTTGACTTCTTGTGAGTGAGCAAAGAAGACAACAGATTTGTTTAGTATCAAAATACAGGCATCACGAGCATCATGATCATGTTCATTATAATGTGAGACGTTCTCACCAGGTAGCTAATAGAGCCTGTTAAGGAACCATTTATATTTATCTCCAACTGTAACTTTAAGTACCCCAGATGTGTGTTGGGAGCATTATTTGTAATGCTGCTACAGGAGTTAGTTTCTGGGTTTTCTTGTTGATGGGTAAGTAAAGCTACCTAGAAGAAGTTGCAAGTGAAGGAAACATAATTTCTAATAATATCCTCTCTCAAGAATATATTGATTAAGGGCTAGGGATATAGCTCAGAGGTACAGAACTTGCCTGGCAAGCATGAGGTTATGAGTTCAATTCCCAGTACCAAAAAAACAGAAAAACAAGACAGATGAGTGAATGGAAGCACAGATTATTTTATGTATATGTGTACATACAGGATAGTTAACATAGTTTTATTACTGACATATCACTTTATTGAAAGGAATAGTTAATGGTTAATTATTTGATCAATCTTTCATGTCTATATTTGCTTTCCTGAGAAACTACTTTGAAGTTATGAATATGTAATACAGCAATGAATGTTAGTTTCCTGTCACCTTCTCTGTAATCCAGTATGGTTTGCATTTTTCGTGTGCTATTTTGTAAATGGAGGTCTGTTTGTTAATATGTTTTCATTCTTTTATTTTTAGAATAAAAATTTTTTTAAAAAGAATATATTGATTATATTGAACTCACATTTACGCTATTACCTTCTCATGTAAGACAATGATTAAAAAGCAAGCAGACAGTTTTAAAACACGTATCATCAAGACTCGGCATGGGGTTAGGGTTTTGCATTCCAGGACATTTGTCATCTGTAGTAGCCTAGGATTGTCCTCATCAGATGAGCTATTAAATAGTTCTTTATTTTGCTCCTTTACTTTAATGTAATTTTCATCTTCTGCACATTTTTTTGCTTTTGAAAGAATTCTATATATTTATAGTTGTTCAGTTAGTGGAACTCCAGTACTAGTCTGTAAAAAAATGTGTTTTATTGGGAAGAGTGGATATCCATTCTTGAACAAAATTGTCAAACAATTAGAACCACCACACCTTTACTACTAATAAAAAAAGTGATGAGTCTGATACTGCAAAGCACAGGCTGTAGAATACATGTATATACGACTATGTACATGTAAGTGTGTTTAGATGCATGATATTTTGATTATTTGCTAATAATGCTTCCTGCTAGTTTATACAGAAATAACTATGGGAAATAAATATGTATTGAGTCCCAGCTACCAGTAGCAAAGTTGAGAAGAGGATGTGGGCACACTGTAATGTTCCTGCTCTAGGATATAGCACACCTGTCAATGTCACAATTTAATTCCTCTGGGAGAAAAACTGCTTCAAACATATGATAGAATATGAACCTTGTACAATGTAAAATCAACTAGATCAGCCTTGAAAAGTATTATCATTCCATTTACTTTGCAGTGAGAAAAAACATTGCAACATATCTGTCAAAATATAAAATAACTAAAAATATGTTTTATCACCATTTTCCTGGTAATATCTACCACCCAATGAGATATTGCCACTTTGATCTCAATTGTTTTGATTGGAGAACTGAAGAGATGGAAGACGCTAAAAGAACAATGAAAACTGGATTGGTAAAATCATTTAACATTATTTCTTGAATTTGTTTAAGCAGTAGTACTAACTTTACAGGGAGAGAAAAGTTAAAGCTTGTTGAAGTGATGTACAATATTTTGTGTTGACTTACTGCAGTACTTATCATGATTTAAATAAGAAACCAACATTGATTTCCTAATTGTTTTCCTCATACCATTTACAAAAATATCATTTGGAATGTAGATTCTATGTGAATATTTTGCAGATACCTGTGAATCGTTTTTCAAAAAGACAACTTTATTCAATTTTAAAAAGCTATTTGAAAGTAAAGTAAAAAATGGGAAACCTTTCACATTTTTTGGAGAAAATTCTGTCATTTTATCTTTCTATGTAATTCTAAAATAGTGATGTAAATTTCAACTTGCTCTTCAGGAAAGTAATTTTATTTCATGAAAGCTAGAGTTACTATCTTGAAGTATAGCAATATTTACAGATTAATTCAGATCTACTTGTGGAATTATTTTGTAACTTTGAAATCTTTTAGGAAAAGACTTCTGTTCCTACATATGAGGGAGTAACAGGGCTCATACTTGGCCTTCTGCTGCAAAAAATAAGAAAATTTGATAAAGTATATGGTGTGACTGTGTTTGGACATCAGAAAACAGCACATAATCTTAGTACCAGGGAAGTTAAGGAAACAGACAAGATAAATCACAAAATGCTAAAGCTTTCTGCCAGGAGACATTTTCCTGACTCTTCAACTAGAGAGAACACAAAGTTTGTTCATCTTGCCAATTTAAGTTGACAGGAGCAGACTTTGGGATGGCAAAGGCAGCTAGAATTTACAATACAGAAGAAGGGAGAAGATGGATCAATACAGAAAAATAATTAAGTAAATAATAAATAAGTCTCAGAAATTAGCACAGAATTTCCTCTGAGTAGCCAAATACCAATCTACAGGTAAATAGAAAAGAATTATGAATCTAGGTTAAGAACAGTTACTAGAAGCAGTATTATATTTTACCATTTATTACACACACATTTGCAATTTCTAATATTTCCAATTCCTTTGTATAAACACAAATTTCCCTTATATAATTTTCTTCTCTTTCAAGAGTTTTCTTTAATATTTACAGCAAAATATGATTTCTCACTGTATTTAGTTGCTCAAGAAGACTTTATTTTGCCTTAACTTTCTTTTTTTTTTTTTTTTTTTTTTTGCTTTTTTTTGTTTTTCTTCTGGTACTAGGAATCAAACTCACAACCCTGCGCTTGCCAGGCAGGCGGTGTACCGCTGAGCTAAATCTCCAGCCCCTTTCCCTTAACTTTCTAAAGCAAGAAATATCATCTAAAAGTTTAGAAATTTCTGCTAGAAATTTTATCTAAATAGTTATTTAAAAATAACTACTTAAGGCAAAAGTAACAATTCCTCGTGATTTAGAGAGATGCTATAAAACACTGTTTAAATAAAATGTATTAAATTATAACCCACAGGATGAGAGGAGAAAAAGGAGAATATTACTGTAGGTATCTCACATATACAACTCCATATTTTTATAACATAATAGTAGTATAGTGGATAAGTGTAGACTGCGGTGAGTTAATGGTACATGTTGTCAACCTTCAGTGAAATACCAAAACCAACCAAAACAGGTTCAGCTAACATGCCCTATTTAGAATAACAAGAAATGCTAAGGATAAAAGCAAAAAAATAAAACAAAACAAAAAAACAGCCAAAGGGAACGAAAACCAGACAGGACAGATAGAAAATAAATGAAGAGATGATTCATTTGTATCTAACCACATTGATTATCCCAATCAATGTAAATGTATTAAACAATAAAAGGCAGAAATTGTTAGGCTGCAGATGAAAGCAAAAGCTGATTATGTGCTGTCTGCATGACACTCCTTTTACTGACAAGTAAAATAACAAGCAGTGTTTTGATTTCTTTTTGTTTTTGCTATAGAGGTGTGAAAGTGTTTGCCAAATAAATGGAAAATGGGAGAACATTTAAACTGCTCAGATGAGAAGCAATTCTCTGATAATTTCTGACTGTAATGTTTTTCCCCCCATAACTGATGTAATCATTTGAATTCACCACAGCAAGTCTGATAGAGCCAGTAGTTGTGTATGCCTTCTTAACTCTAACCCTTATATATACAAATCTGCTTTAGAGTAAAATTACTCATACTTCAGTCTTTCAGAATTATAACAAAAATTTTATAATTCTTCAGTTTTTTATGAATTAATGTTTTAGCATACAAGAACTTTGGAGTTAAATATTACTTGCTTTTTCAGAGAAAATGTATTTGTACTATCTTTAGAATAATCAATAAATATGACTATAAGCAAGGATAAAATTAAACCTTTGTTTATTCTACAAAAACAATGTAATAAATTCATCATCAAAGAAATAAATCATTTACATGCAGGATGGAATAAATTGACATTTATAACTGAACTGTGGGATAATTAAGGATATTCCAATATGCCACTTTATGGTTCTTCAGCATAGACAAATTTTCAAGGTTATGTTTTTGCTGTTTTTATCATAGCATAGCCTTCATCTCAGATAGAAGCCTTTGAGGGGAAATTATCTGTAAGGCATATGAAATACCTCTGTTACAGGTCATTCGGAAAGGAGAAGTGAGCTGCTGCTGGATTTGCACAGCCTGCAAAGAGAACGAGTATGTGCAGGACGAGTTCACCTGCAAAGCCTGTGACCTGGGCTGGTGGCCCAACGCAGACCTAACAGGTAGGAGCAGCCTCCCTTGTGAGTCCTGCCCCATTGCTTCTCCACTGTACCCATCGTTCCAAGGTGAGGGATGAACACATGTCTTTTAAGGTTAATGTACAGTGCACATTTTGTAATGCTCATATCAAACACTATGTGCAAACCTTTTAGAAGTTTTCCATCACCTATACTGAAAAGAAAATTCACTTAAGTCTAAATAGAAGGAAATTGATACATAGTAAGATATTCTGGTATGCAGACATTCCATTATTTTCTGTTTTTCCTCTCTTGAATTGTTTTGGAACGTATTTCTAGCCAATTTAATCTATACCGACAACCACTGTTTTGAACATCTACTACTTGTGAGTGACTACCATAGACTCTAAAGGTACTAAAGTAAATGAAACACAACCCTCACCTTTATTTTGCTTAAAATCTGTCAGAGAAGAAATGCGGAAACATAACAATTATGAACATAAAAGGGATATGTATAGAGCTACAAATCTTGTTAGGCAGACATGGAGATGAAAGGAATTCTACAAAGAAAGTAGAACGCGGGGAAACTGAAAGTTTATAATACATTTTGGGGCGACCATGGAACAAGTGTGTGGGGTTGTTCGGAAGACACAAGGGGCTGGTGGAGACATGGGGAGAAACGAGGCTGGGTGGGCCTATGGCAGTGAGAGCATGTGTTTCTACAGGCTCAACCCCTGTGTTTAGACTTTGGTTTTTAGCACAGTGGATGGCTGAGCACTTTAAGGCGGTGAGTGACATCATGATACCTGTTTCCAGGATGAGGGATCTGGGGGCTGTATCAAGTGTAACTAGATGAGAAACTGGGTGATCAGGAAGCTGTCACATTGTCCCCAATGAATCATTTCAAAGGGTGTGGACGAGGGCAGCTACAGTGGAAATGGAGAGGGATAAATGAATGCAAGAGGCAATTTAGTGGTAAATTAGTGGGACTGAGGTGGATTGATGATGTGAGTTCATAACTTGCTAAAGAGCTATGTTTATATATGTGAAGTTTGTTTTTCACAGGCCCTGGTATGACCTCATGTACAGGCGGTGTCTCACAAGTATCTTTCCTAAATTTTAAGAATCATAGAGCCCTGGGATCTTTGTCACTGGGATACTGGCAGTTATACTTCATCATCTGTGTAACTGAACCCCTCATCTGAAACAAGCCTAGTTAGTGAGGTTGTGTGTCAAGATCAGGCAATGAGTTAGAAGCAAACACACTTCACTAGCTCCTAGTCCTGTACTTCCTTGGTTACTGTTGAAAATATCAGACAGAGTAACAATGCTGATGGCTGCTTACTCATCCCTTGCCTCCCTCCCTTCCTTCCTTCCCCTTCCATCCCTTTCTGTCTTCTTCCATCCCATCCCATTCCTTCCCTTTTCTTTTTTAAAATAAAGAATCTTACCTTGTCATCCAGCCAGGGGTTGAACTCACTATGTAGCCCAGGCTGGCCTTGAATATGTGAGCCTCCTGGTTCAGCCTCCTCAGTGCTACAATTACAAGCACATAGCAGGACTTTTTTATTTGATTCTAAGTAAGAATATGAGACTTAAAAATGTGGTTTATTCAAAACATATCAAATGTCAAAAACAAAACAAAACAAAACAAAACAAAAAAAGGGGCTTGGGATTTAGCTGAGCAGCACAGCACCTGCCTGGCAAGTGCAAGGTCACAAGTTCGATTCCCGGTACAGGAAAAACAAAACAAAACAGAACATATCAAATGTCTACACAAGTAGAATCAGGTCACATAAATATAATTGCTTTTATTAAGTGGCAACACCTTGTAAAATGTTAGCTTTTAGAAACAAGTCAAAATGCATATCAGAAAACTTTTATAAATCACGTAGGATAAAGGCCCTTTTCAAAGAAAAGGAGATTAGATTAGAATGTTTGAAGGTACAAACTGTGTCTGTTGATCTTTTTATCTCTAGCTAAAAGCTGCCTTTCAAGTGTTTGTGTGCCTGAGAAGTACCCCCAACTTATCCACACCCCAGGGGTTTCCATTGGCTAGTTCTGGAGTGGGGCCCGGCAGATGCTGAAGCAATTAGGGTCATTCCACATGTGGAGAACTACTGCTCTCTTGCTCAAAGCCTGGTGCTATGAACATTGCAGCTACTTAAACCAACACCTAACATCATACTAAATGGTCAAAAATTGAAAGCTTTCACTTTAAAATCAGGAATAAGACAAGGATGTCCACTGTCACCACTCCTATTCAGTATAGTTCTGGAAATATTGACCAGAGTGATTAGACAAGAGAGAGAAGTCAAAGGAATAAGGATTGGAAAGGAAGAAGTGAAATTATCATTATTGGCAGATGACCTGATACTCTACATAGAAGACCCCAAAATCTCCACCAAAAGACTCATGGATTTAATAACCAAATTCAGTAGCATAGCTGGATACAAAGTTAACACTCAAAAATCAATAGCATTCCTGTACACAAGTAACAAGCAGACTGAGAGAGAAATTATGGAAACTATACCTTTCACAATAACATCTAAAAAGATGAAATACTTAGGAATCAATCTAACAAAACAAGTGAAAGTTCAGTGAAAATTATAGTACTCTGAAAAAAGAGATCAAAGAGGATATCAGAAAATGGAAATATATTCCTTGCTCATGGATAGGAAGAACCAACATTGTGAAAATGGCCATACTCCCAAAATTGTTGTACAGATTCAACACAATCCCAATTAAAATACCCTTACTACACCTCACAGATCTAGAGAAAGCACTGTTGAAGTTCATCTGGAACTAGAAGAGGCCTAGAATAGCAAAAGCAATCTTGGGAACAAAGGAAAGTCAGAAGGCATCACAATTCCATACTTAAAATTATATTACAAAGCTACTGTGATAAAATCAGCATGGTAGTGGCCCAAAAACAGACCTGAAAATCAATGGAACAGATTAGAAGCTACAGATACAGCTACAAACACACTCAATCACCTTATCTTCAACAAAGGGGCTAAACATGTTCAATGGAAGAAAGATAGCCTCTTTAATAAATGGTGCTGGAAAAACTGGCTTTCCACATGCTGAAGACTAAAACTAGACCCATGTCTTTCACCATGCACTAAGTTAAAGTCAAAATGGATCAAAGATCTAAATATTAAAACAGAAACACTAAATTTATTGGAAGAGAAAGTACGTAAAAATCTTGACAACACTGGGGCAAGCAGAGAGTTCATGAACAAAAACCAAACTGCACAGGAAATACTTCAAAGATTCAACAACCGAGATTTCATCTTATTGAAAAGTTTTTGTACGTCTAAAGAAATCACCGATAAAGTAAAAAGAAAACCCACAAATTGGGAAAAAAATTTAGCCAACTGCCCCTCAGACAAAGGACTTCTATCTAGCACAAATAAAGAATTTTAAAAAAAATCAGGCCCTCTAAATTCAAAGATCCAACCCAAAAATGGGCATCTGAGATGGATACTTCATAAGTATTTGTTAAGTTGAGAAAACTGGAAAGAAAAAGAGACTCATTCCAGTTTCTTTGATTGATGCAGTTGGTTAATAGGAAAGCCACAGTGTAATCCAGTGCTTCCCCAGTAGGGTTAATGGTTTTCCACTATATCACCAATCTCACAGTTGCATGCACTGGACTGGCTTGGAAAAGTTTCTCCAGTCGGTCTCTCTCCTAATCTTTATCCTCCTTCATATTAGGCACTTCCTTCGGGGTCTCTTGGGTAAGCAGGTCTCATAAAACACCCTTGTTTTGGAGAGCTGGGGCTAACCTCACTGTCATTCCTCTCTGCTACTTGACAGAGATCATGACTGGCTAGGAGGAGACTAAAAGATAAAAGTGGCCCCTTTCTCAGCTCGGTTTTAGAAGTCAGATGTCCTGGCTTTGAGGCACAAAACTTTTTCTTATTGATGTTTTCTCACCTTTCCCCAACTTTTCCTGATAGTCTATTTTTTTTTCACTTGAATTAAGGTTTGTCTCATACATAAAAAGAACTTCTACTCTATTTTAAAACCTTAAATTAAAAAACCTTATACAAAAGATCTAATATGGTATAATAATGCAACTCCTACTCAATATTTTATTCCCTGGAGATCTGCCGTTGTGTATTGTCAGACCATGCCCATTGATTAAGACTCGTTAATTTGGGACAGCATGAAATAAATCCTTCATCACTGTAAGTAGATGGACAGCAAGTCAATCATCTTTCTGATGCTTTAATATACTGTCATCGATCACATATGTGTATCACTTTGTCATTCAAATGATGTGAGCCAGGCACCAGCTCAGACGTTGCCTTTATCTCTGCCAAGCAGCTACACCTGGGTCATATATCTAGGCTATTTTGCAAATATTGCCTTTAGAATCTTTGAGAGCATACACATCTCATACTACTTTATGCTCATGTTTCAATGATACCTATGAATGCTGCATTCCTTTTAGTCTCATACTTGAATGGAGCAGGAGATCCCATTTGTCACTTACTTGCTGCTGTGCCAGGCGCTGAGTGAGGACAGTACACGGGCTGGCATGTCATAGGAGCAATAGTTGTCACAGAATACCAAAAATGTGTAGAAATATGGAGAAGAGTAAATATACTGCCCTTAATTAGGTGTTTTTTTATGGGGAGTGAATTTTTCACTTGATCTTAGCCAAAAGGCCAAGAAGTGATTTTTGGGTGGATAATTATGAGCATGTTTTAATTAAAATGTGAAATCATTGTATTTTGAGAAATGACTTTTTAAAAAACTGAAGTTAGAGTTTATTCAAGTAGTTGCTTTTATGATGTAGACTCCAAAGAGTCCAATAGTAATGAATAAAAACATGCTTATAAGTCATTTTAAAATTTTCTTTAGAATATGCCTTACTTTGGCTGTGAAAATAAATTGGTATATTTCTTAGAGAAAGTATTTTGTGAAGCTGTTAAGTTTCTCATATTTTCTTCTTGGTAAAATGCACATTTTAGTTTAGCATTTAAATTTCACACTTTATTTCTTCTGATACTAAAACAGGATTTTCTTCCGCA